GAGGAAGAAACTAAGAAAACAAAATTAACGACTCAAACAAATAAAGAAAAGATATAGCCTTCAATTAATTTGAAGTCAAAACTCTGATACCAACTGATGCGAATCCCGTAGCAACGTTGACTACAAAACCCACAATGAGATTGAAGAACCCAAGAAAGCTAAATGAATCCAAGTGTTTAGGATTAACCCAAAAGAAAGTCGAACAAAAAACCTAACAAGATCGACGCTTGAAAAACCCCTTGATCACGCAATCCAAGAATTAAATCCGATTGTTTGAACGCCATAAGTTAACACTTGATAAATTCGAAATTGTTCAATGAAGAACGATGAAGAGAAGATAATACGCCTCACTTTTAATTCAATATAAAAAATGTCAAAGGTCTTTAACAATTGAATGAAAACTCCTATTTATACTAACCCTGAAACTAGGTAAAAATCGTGCAAAAGTTGATCATAATCCCCAAAATATGGAAAAGAATAAAAAACTAACAAAATATGAAAAATTTCCAAAATTAGAAAATTCGCCAAATTTTTGGCCTTTGCAACCGCGACGTTCATTTCTATGCGGTCGCATAGTTCAAACAAGTTTCGCCCTTTGAGTTTGGGTAAGCCTCCATGCGACCGCAAGCCTCTCAAGCCTATGCGACCGTATAGGCTTATCATTTTCCTCCGTCTTCAAACTTCGATATTAAATTGATCCAAGTTGATTCAGCCTTCGACCCGAACATGGAAGTTGTTCCATTTTGAGTCCTGAACATGGTTCCATCAATGGTTTCTTGAACAAGCAATCCCATCGCTTGTTTCACTTGCTTTGCCCTTGATCGCGTCATTGGTCCGTCATCGACTATCAACGGGTCTCGTCTCGCACTTGCCTTCGTCGGGCTCAACTCCTAGCTCATGTCACTATGCCACTGGAGTTGCAGAAGCAACATGAGGGTATAGATGTTTACACTATGATTTTTCATCTCAAAGAGTCGTATGATGAACAATCTCGTGTGGAGAGGTATGAGACCTCTAAACAACTATACCGGTGTAAAATGGCAGAGTGATCTTCAGTCAGTGCTCATGTGCTGAAGATGATTGGTTTCATTGAAAAACTGGGTTCATTGAGTTTTATCATGGATCACGAACTAAGTATTGACTTGGTTCTGCAATCTCTGCCAGATAGTTATTCACAGTTCATTATGAACTTCAATATGAATAAGATTGAATGCACACTCCTTGAGTTGCTTAATATGCTTAAACTGTGGAGCCCAATGTCAAGGCTAGCACTGGGCATGTCTTAGCTATTCATTCCTCCAAGGGCACTAAGAGGAAAATCAAAGGTAGTTTTGAGAAAACATCCAAAAAGGCTAAGGGCAATAACAAAGTAGTCAAAGCAAGCAAGGACAATACCAAATCTGATGACCCATCCTATCACTGTGGAGTGAAAGGTCATTGCAAGAGGAACTGTAAGGCTTACCTCGCTAGCTTGAAGGGAAAGAAGTCTTCTGAAACTTCTATTTCAAGGACTAAAGAGAAGTAGACCACTGCAGAAAAAAGAAGTTGACCTGCGTGTGGAAAATAGAGCAAGAGTTGCTGCATTAACTATAGGGACATACTTTTTACCACTGCCTTCGGGCTTAGTATTAAAATTAGAAAATTGCTATTTTGTTCTCGCCATTACTAAAAACATTATTTCTATTTCATGTTTGGACATGATTTTTTTTCAATTAATGTTAAGAGCAATTGTTGTTCGTTTTATAAAGTTAAGATCTTTTGTGGTTGTGGTGTGTTGCAAAATGGAATTTATATTTTTGATATCGAGTCGTCTATGATGAATAGAGAAAAGAAAAGGCATAAAAGTGATCATCTAAATAATACATACCTCTGGCATTGCAGACTGGGTCATATTAACGACAAACGCATTTTCAAGTTACATAAAGATGGATACTTGGGGTCAACTGATTTTGAATCATTTGACAGATGCGAGTCGTACCTGTTAGGCAAAATGACCAAGTTCCCTTTTACTGGAAAAGGAGAAAGAACCATAGAACTGCTGGGACTAATACATACTGATGTATGTGGACCCATGTCAATAACTGCTAGAGGTGGTTTCTCTTACTTCATCACATTCACTGATGATCATTCTAGACATGGTTATGTGTATCTGATGAAATTCAAGCATGAAGCACTGGAAAAGTTCAAGGAATTCAAACTTGAAATAGATAAACAGACTGGTAAAAATATTCTCACGCTGAGATCAGATCGGGGTGGAGAATATTTAAGGGGAGAATTTTTAGATTATCGAAAAGAGAATGGAATTCTCTCGCAGTGGACTTCGCCATATACACCGCAACATAATGGTGTATCTAAACGGAGGAATCGCACTTTGTTAGACATTATGCGATCTATGATGAGCCATGCAAATATGCCAAAATCATTTTGGGGTCATGCATTAATTGCTGACACACTTAATCGTGTCCCATTTAAATCGGTCGACAAAACTCCGTACGAGCTATGGAGAGGAAAAAGACCAAACTTATCTCACTAAGTTTGGGGTTGTGACGCTTATGTAAAGTGAAATGAATCAAATAAGTTTGAGGCTAAATCTGATAAATACGTATTTGTGGGATATCCAAAAGAGACAATTGGATATCAGTTTTATAATCCCGTTGAGAAGAAGGTGTTCATCTCAAGACATGCCATATTCCTAGAGAAAGAGTTTATTCTAGGATAGGGTAGTGGGAGCAAACTAGAACTTGAAGAAGTTCAAAAATCCAAATATACTGTTGATCAATTAGATGAACCTGAGTCTGATCCCACATCTGTTGATGGACAGACTCTTGATCAGGATGTAGAGAACCCTGAGAACACTCCAGCTCAGCGTAAATCAAGTAGGATCATTCAACCTCCCAGAATGTACGAATTCACGATTACTAATCAAGTATTATTAGTCGAGGATGATGAACCTACAAATTACGCAGAAGCGAAGTCAAGTGTTGACTCGAAGAGATGACAAGAAGCCATGGAATCTGAAATGAACTCAATGTATGAGAACAATGTTTGGACCTTGGTCGACCTTCCAGGTGGGATAAAATTGATAGGTTATAAATGGGTTTACAAGAAAAAGGTCAATGTGGATGGAAACGTCCATACATACAAAGTAAGGCTAGTAGCGAAGGGTTACACATAAAGACAAGTTGACTTTGATGAAACTTTTTCACCTATAGTCATGCTAAAATTCAATCGAATTTTGCTTGCAATAGCTCCGGACCATGATTATGAGATATGGCAAAGTGATGTCAAAATTGCTTTCCTTAATGGAAACTTACAAGAGGATGTGTACATGACACAGCCTGAAGGTTTTGAATCCAAAGGAGCCAACAAAGTATGTAAGCTAAATCGATCTATTTTTGGATTAGAGCAAGCCTCTAGGAGCTGGAATCTTTGTTTTGATGAGACAATCAAAATGTTTGATTTTATCAAAAATGAAGATGAACCATGTGTTTACAAGAAGACAAGTGGGAGCGCGGTCGTATTCCTAATATTATTGTCGATGACATATTATTAATGGAAAACGACATCCCAATGCTTCAATCGGTGAAATTATGGTTGTCAAAGAATTTCTCCATAAAAGATATGGGAGAAGCAGCGTATATCTTGGAAATCAAGATCTATAGAGATAGATCTAAAAGATTACTAGGCTTATCCCAATCTTCGTACATAGATAAAATTTTGGGAAGATTTAATATAGAAGAGTCTAAAAGAGGTTTATGTCCCATGTCGCATGGGATTTACCTCTTAAAAGATATGTGTCCTAAAACACATGATGAAAGGAGTCGCATGGATAAGATTCCTTATGCTTCGGCGATAGGATCTATCATGTATGTGATGCTATGTACGAGACCAGATGTTTCATATGCTCTAAGTGTTATGAGCAGGTTTCAAGGAAATCCTGATGAGAACCACTGGATAGCGGTTAAGAACATTTTTAAGTACTTGAAAAGGACTAAAGATGTGTTCTTGATCTATGGAGGAAATGAACTGAAAATTCATGGGTATACTGATGCCAACTTTCAAACTGACAAAGATGATAGCAAGTCTCAATCAGGATATATGTTGACTCTCAACAATGGAGCGGTTAGTTGGAAAAGTTCCAAACAGGAGACAACCACTGATTCAACAACAGAAGCCGAGTACATTGCTGCGTTTGAAGCAGCGAAAGAAGCTGTCTCGATCAAGAAGTTCATTAATGAACTTGGAGTTGTTCCTAGCATTGTTGATCCCATACCTTTGTATTATGATAACAATAGAGCCATCGCACAAGCGAAGGAACCGAGGTCTCATCAACGATCCAAACATATGCTAAGGTGACATCATCTCATTATGGAGATTATACAAAGAAATGATGTAACAATAGAGCGAGTTCCCACAGATGACAATATTGCAGATCCACTGACAAAGCCGTTGTCACAACAAAAATATGATCGTCATGTGGACGCTTATGGTATTAGATACATGAGTGATTGGATCTAGTGCAAGTGGAAGTTTGCAAGTGTTATGCCCTAGATCCAATCGATTTAGGTTGTAAACACTTTTAATATGTTTAATGCATTTGATTTGGCAAGATCTATTATTTATTTAAATTAATTTTGTGATAAATAATATTAAATAATAGAATTCGAAGATCCAAGTTTAAGTGATTTGTTAATCACAAGGAGTTGTGATTGTGAGATACAAATTACGTATGATTGGATCTTGAATAAACTGTAGTCGTAAGTAATGACGAGATACGGATATCGTTAATACAGTTAGACCATCACGTGTGGCATTTCTTACTTGTGATGATCTCACGAGCTAAAGTGTGGTGACACTTAAATGAACACGTGGATGTTTTATTATAGAACAAAACATTGGAGACCCGCTAAGAGATTCCACGTGGATAACTATCTGAGTCTCCGTGGTAAATCTCTAACGTTCGGTAGTGGAATTGGTCTTATGACTTGAGGTCATCATAGTGCTTTGTACGAGGACAGTCATGCTTTGACGGTGTTGGATGTTGCTCTAACAAGGCCAGCTAATACGACATCGTTCGGGTATGTCAAGAACGATATGAAGGTTGTGAATGACCAATAGAGGATTCTTCACTCTTAGATAGTAAGAGACTGTGATCTGCATTTCGTTCAATTAAGTCAATAACGAAATCCTTGGTCAAGGTATACATATAAGTCGAAAAGGAGTTTTTGACTCATATTGACTTAATAGTAGAGCGAAAGATATGATCGATAATCGAGATTGACACACTTCTATATCTCGTAGTTGATCGGATCATATTGACGAAGAGATTATAATTTCATGGTAAACGAACAGTTTTGGTTTTGTCATACCACGTGACATTTTTTATCACATGTATTGCCCTGATACATTGTTAGATGTCAATTTGGGACGACGAGTGTGAATTTGTGATCAATTAAAAGAACGTTTAATTTATCAGTTTTGATTATATTAAAATAATATTTCACGTCGTTAGGTATCGTGGTCGGGAACCTGATGGATCGCACACAAAAGAGAATTGGAAGATTGCAAATAACCAATTAATTAATTCATCCAATTGTTTGATAAAATTAATTAATTGGATTTGTTATTTATAGCCCCGAATTAATTAATTGGACTAATTAATTCACGGACCGAATTTAATTAAATGGATTAATTAAATATTGGACTGGACCGGGCCGAGCCCGTTTGGGTTTATATAAATACATGGCTAGGGTTTAAGATCCATAAGTGTTTCATTATTCTTGCTGGCACAAGAGAAAAAACTCTAGCAGGTGCAGTCTATTTTCTGTGTGGATTTCATTGGAGGTTGGACAATTGGACAGCTGTGGAAGGCAGATTTAAGTTGCTAGAAAAGGATAACGCGAAGGAGTTTGCAAAATCAAGAAAATGGTATATTTCTCATCACAGTTCTTATCTAAATACAAAGCTGAATCCTGGTGGGAATTGAAACTGTTTATTTCCACTGTACATTTTTAAGTAAATTCCCTACAAGATCTTTTATACATTTTCACCCCTGATTTTATTAGAATTGTAAGTCGATAAGTCTCTTTCTTTGACTCTCAGTCTAGTGCCCAAATAATAACTAGAGTAAAATTTGTGAGTAATGTCATTTAAACACAAATACAATTGTTATTTCATTATTGAACCAACCCAAACTCAACCAATGTGTACTACTTAAAACCGGAAAATCTTCAAGGTAGAAAAATCATTAATTTTTGTTTCTTTTTTTCTTGGTATGCTTCATATCTTTATTTTGTCTCAGATGATTACGGCGTGAATCGAGCGGAAGAGTGGTTTTTCTTTACATCAAGGGATAGAGAACATGAAAATGAGAAAATACAGAATGGAGTTACAGTCGATGGATATTGGCAAGTAATAGGGGAAGATGATGAAATCATCAAACAAAACAATGAAACTCTTGGATTTCGAAAGATTCTTGAATTCTACAAGGGAAACCCACCAAACGGTGACAATACTTCTTGGATTATGCACGAAATTAAAGTAAACGACCAACACACTGTAGCTGCAGATGATACAAAGGTATGTAATTTAGATATTTTCGATCTTTGCACCTTTTTTTGGTAGTGTGTTCGTTAGACATGGAGTTCTTTTTTCTTGCAGTTGGACGATTGGATTGTGTGTAGAATATATCGCAAGGATAACAGATGGAAGGATGAGACATGGTCGTGATGCAGAAGATGAGATATCGAGTGATGATTCAGAGGATTTGATGTGTTAAATTGGATATGACAGTTTATACTAGATGATTGGTCGAGGTAGATTTTTATACTACTAGAGAAGTATTATGAATTTGTAGACAAGCCAAAATTTGTTGAGCAACGAATCTCTTTGATAAGTTTCATTGTCAATAATGTCAAACATGCTTTTTCTTTGTGCACTTACCTAGACCTATTAAAGCACCATTACGCGTATGAGTAAGTGTTGTGAAGAATTGAATTACATAAGTAGTGATCCTCCTCCACAAATTTTCTTGTTAAATTTGTTAACGCTCAGTTTCAAAAAACTACTAGAGAACAAACTCCACAGTGTTTTCTGGCTGCTTACAATTTACAGGCTCAGTGAGAGGCAGCTTTTGAGAAAAGTTACTAACATTATTTTAATTATTGAATTTTATAGACACATAGATATATCGGATATTTCTTGGATGTATTAGGTTGTCTAATTAAAGATTTATAGGGACGGTTTCAAATGCTTTTACTAGCAAAGCAATTTTTCTTTCCTCAGTCGAAGAAAACCGACTTACTGCCTTTTGAAGTACTGCATGATCGAGCATCCATTCTTCGCCTCTTTTCCTCTTATCTGCCGTCTGAGGCTGCAGGCAGCAGGTTGACCTTTTCTGCTTCAGGGTCGGCTTTAATGGCATCTTTGGATTCAACTTACTTCGCCTTTTCCAATTCCTAGATGAATCCATTTCTTAAGATTACTCCAGTGCTTCGATGCATTCTTCTCAGGTTTTCGTCAACGGTTTCTTTGTCAAACAAGATTGTCCTTTTTCCTTCCCCGTCATCAGGGTCGTGCGGTATGTGAATTTCTCTAGCACGAGCCATAAAGTTGAGGGATTGATTTCCCTACCTGTTTTCAAGAAAGAAAAGAGAGGAAGCAAATAAGTAACAGATTCATTTCTCTATGGAGCCGGCCGCTCCATCATGATTCTAACCCCGCATATACATAAAATATAAGCAACGTAGTCAACACTTTGAATCCTCAAGAGTGGACGAACACGTCACACTATCAACATTTACATCCTCAAAAACCAGAGTTTAAAACTAGTTTTTTTTTTTTTTTTTTTTCCCTAACAGAAAAAAAATCCTTAAATTTTTACTACTTTGATCACTATTGTCAAAGCTAAATTCAGAATTTTAAGGACCTAACTGAAAACGCGATTTCCTTTGAAAACACCTTGTTGCCTTCAAATAATTTGGAGTTGCACTGGGTTCTTCGAAGAAAGATTGATTTGAGATGTTATTGCATCACCCATTGGACCTCTTTGAACGAAACCAAGCACTAATTCTTGTAAAAACTGGTTTTCAAAATGTTTCTCCGACATGGACTTTTTTATAGATTTGTATGAAATTAATGGAAATTTTTCGTAGTCTTCGACAAGTCATTTTAAAATTTTTATAGACTTTTATAGAATTCAAGAAACTTTTATTTAAAATAAAATTAACATGTATTACAATTAGGCCTAAGCATTTTAATTAAAATCGAACCTTTCAAACTGAAATTGAAATCGAAATCGAATCGAAACTGAAGGTTCTAATACATTTTTTTTTTAAATTAGCAATCAAAACCAAATACAGGTCAGTTTGTTTCTTCGTTCCTGAATTAGAACAGTGGGTACTCGAATGGAGCCATTTTTTATATAATTTTTTATTTAGAATATCTAATTTGGGTAATAACGTCTACACTTTGAGAAATCTCCTACATTTTTTTTTTTTTTTTTTTGCATACTGCCTCACATTAGAATGTTGTATTTCAGATGTTCGCACATGTTAATCTTTACAATTTAGGCTTTTTATGATTCAAAAAGTTCAAATTAGGTTGTGGTGTAAGTTGATAAATCAAAACGTTCATTCTTTGTAGTTTGAATTTTTTACTTTCTGCATTTTTTACGAACTTAAATGATTTCTAAATTTTTTATAACACTTGGCAATTGAAATTAATCTATTCATATCTTTTTAATTATCGAAGTTCGTGATTCTATTTGAAATATAAATTTTCATTTTTTATTCGAACAAAACAATTTCATGATACTATATAGTGCATCTAATTTTTTTTTTTTTAGTCATTTTAAGAATAGAAGAATTATTTTAGTTCATTTTAAGGATAGAAGAATTTAATTATTTTTCATAATTAAATTATAGGCTTTAACTTGTCTCACTTGTGGATCGAGTAAGATTTATTAAGAAAATATAATTTTTACTCAGACTGTAATTTAATTTGTGTTCTAATTTTCTCATTTTTTTCATCAATTTTTGTCTCCACTATTTTGTTTCTTGAAAATATCTTAACTGAATTTTCTCTCCAACACAAGTATTTGTCGATTACTATATATCGTGTTAAATATAACTATTTAATGGGCCTATATGAAAATATTTTAAATGTATATAAGGACAATATTATGGGATAACCGAATCCAAAGAGAAAGCTAACGATTTTGGATTGAATTTGGTTCTAACGATTACAAGGACCCGAATAATTTCCATTTACAAATAACAGAAATATAATGGATGGTTTCGAGTATTGAAATACTCAGATTGACCACACGATGGTCATGTTGAATTATAACCAACTAAAAGTGGTCCATATATATCTCATATCCCACACGTTCAGTAACCGCCCATGATCTGAAGAAGTGCATAACCGCTCTTTGATGGAGGGAGCAATTATAAAGACGTTAAGATTCATTCGGAAGGTCCCTAAGCCTATTTTTCACGTTCAGTTTTGCATACACCATCTAAGCAGTGAGGAAGAGGGCTTAGAAGAGCCATAACCCGAAGATAAACACCATCTACAAACCAGAGAAGGTGTGTGAAGAACTCCAATGGCGGGAGGTATGTTTTCGATCCAATATTATTCCGCATTGATCTAAATGTTGTTATGTTGATTAAAGCATATTTAGATCGCTTAACATGAACTTTACATTTGGTATCGGAGCACCGATTTTGCCTCTGCCTTGTTTGTTCTCAACCTGTGTTCTTTCTGTTGAAAACGTGATTACTTATTTAATCATTTTTTTAGAAACTGATATTAGGAATCATTAGGAAATTGATTTATGAGAATTTTGATATAAAATGCGTAAAATTTGGTCGTCGGAATCATGAGATATGTCCGGGTTTCTATTCGGGTCTAACCGGGTCAAAATGACCCGGCTGAAGGTTGAAGACGACCTATTACTGTTTAATATATATATATAAAAAAAAAAAAAACTTTCAAATCAGTTTCATGCATAGAGTAATTGAATGTAGAACGAATTATTTAGCGCACTTGCATGAATTGCATGAAAATGTCATGATTACTGCCAACTTGCAATTCATGAAAATGATTACTGCCAACTTGCATGAATTGCAATACTGCCAACTTGCATGAATTGCAATAAATGCTGTTGATTTTATCATTTAGAAATGGAATGTTGGACAAAAGCCTGTATCTGTGTCAGTAGAAATTTCAGCTATTGTATTATTTCCTGGAGGCATGTGCTGAAAATTAATGAGAATTATTTGGTGATTTTGTTTTCACATGTAGTGAACTTATTTATTTATGTTTTTTTCTATGTATAAATTTTGTGGTTTATTATACATACATTATTAGGGTAAATAATTTTGCACATTAAAATTAATTTTAATTAAAGGCTCCTTATGACTTTAATATGGATATTTATGTGCTTATATTATTTATTTTTGTTATTTGTGTGAATAATTATTGTTTTATTATTCATGCAATATTAAGTTGAATAATATTAGTACATTAATGTCTGATTGCATTGCATATGGTTTAGCAATAGTTTGAGCTTAAGAATTTAGTTAATGTTTGGTGATCCATATGGTTTTAATTAATTAAGGAATAGCCACAACATCTTTAATTAATTGAAATTATATATTAAGGTTCATTTGGGATCACATTTGGAAAATAAACATTAATTGTGATTAATCATAATTGATATGGTAAATCTTATCCCACAGGAATTTTTATCGTATTATATATGATTAATTAGGATAAAATATCAAACTATATTTTCTAATTTGCCCACAGGTATTAAAAAAGGGAACATAATTTAATAGTTTTATTGTAAAGTTAAGATGAATCTAATTGAATTAGAATTTTAGCCCACAGGCAAGTTTTATGTCGCTAGATTCATGTTTTGCATGTTTTTACATTGGTAAAACATGTCATATGTTATTTTAGCTTCAAATTTTGTAATAATGAGCATGTATGTTTGAAATGTTGCAGTTATTCAACCAATTAATTTCTCTGATATAAAATGCGATGTTCCTGAACTCAAGGGTGACAACTATAAGGTTTGGAAGGGAAGGATTCTCCTTCACTTAGGGTGGATGGACATTGACTATGCTATTAGAAAAGACGAACCACCTAAAATTACTGAAACCAGCATTCCAGACCAAGTTGATCTTTATGAAAAATGGGAGCGATCTAATCGTCTTTCAGTCATGTTCATAAAAACCAAAATATCTGCTGGGATTAGGGGTTCTGTCGAGCAATACGACAATGTTCGAGAATTGCTGAAGGCAATTGATGATCAATTTGTAACTTCAGACAAGGCATTAGCAAGCACCCTAATTATGCAGTTCTCATCCATGAAGCTCACCGGGATTAGAGGCGTGCGTGATCATACCATGCGCATGAGGGATATAGCGGCTCAACTGAAAGCGTTGGAAGTTGAGATGTCAGATACTTTCCTGGTTCACTTCATTCTGTGCACTCTACCCCAACAATATGGTCCCTTTAAGATATCTTATAACACACATAAGGACAAATGGTCAATTAATAAACTGTTGACCATGTGTGTTCAAGAGAAGGGAAGATTGGCAATGGAAGAGAGTGAGAAGGTGAACTTGACAGTTCTTGGAAAGAAAGAGGATCAAGCCAAACAAAAGGGAAAGGGCAAGATTCCTCCCCAGTCGGACATCAAGAAGGAGTTAAAGTGCTTC